GCGGTCCCTCCCTCCAGGTCGATATTCCCTCCGTTCTTCCCGAGACGGTCCCTCCCCTAGCGTTATGTCGGGCCTGTCCCCCTGCAGGGGGATTTTCGACGAAAAATAAAAATACCCTAGAAATAATAAAAAAATAGTAGAAACATAGTATGGGGACTATTTTTGGAGTATTGTTTGACCTTTCTGGTGCATTTGTAGGTATTTTTTATTTTTCGTCGAAAATCCCCCTGTAGGGAGACAGGCCCGACTTAACCCTAGCGTTGCTTTTCCTTCTGCCCTCCCCACGCTTCCCCACTCTCTCACCTCCCCGTCCGGGTCAAGTCGGGCGGGGCCAGGACATGGATAAATCGTTCTGGAGCTTTCTGGAACACTCTCAGAGCACCCCGGAACCTTTCTGAGAAGGCAGCGGCGCCCGATGCCCATCCCTCAGAACCGCCAGGCCCCAAACGATCCCTGGATCGTCCCAGTCCGGATTTCACAAACCCTTGTCCACGCGGATTTACTTCAGAATATTCGGAAGCATGGGTAGGGGAAGGAACATCCGCGTAATGTGTAGCAGTGTGGGAATCGTGGATCTTCATATCTTTATTCAGGTGGCTTGCGCCCTTCTGCCGAACCTCACAGCAGTGAGTTCGTCAAGCACCGTCACTGGCTTTTGGGCAGGAACCTCGGGGAGGCATGCGAGGTTCTCCTGGGAGTGCCTCTTGGGGCCGGCCTCTTCGGCTTCTGGGGGGGGGGCTCCTTGGGGGCATCTCGTTGGCTCTTGGGGGGCCTCCCGGGGGCCTCTCGGGTGCCTCTGGGGGCCTCTTGGGGGCAGTTGTGCAGACTGCGAAGGCCTGACGGCCGGTGCGACCCTGAAAGACATCGACGACGACCAGGAGGGGGAGGAGAAGGAGAAGGAGGAGGAGGAGGATGAGGAGGAGGCGGAGATAAGGAGGAGGCGAAGGAGGAGGAAACGGGCTCCCCGGGAGCCCCCCCCCCTGGGGAGGGGAACCGGAGGAGGACGGGCGATCTGCTCGTGTCCTTCTGGGCCCCCCTTTGGAGGAGCTCGCCTCGCTGCAGCTGCCGCGCTGGGTGGACGTGGGCGCGGCGGGGCGCCAGTGCACCGACGCCCTGCTGGTCGCAGAGGGCGCCTGGAGGGAGGTGCGGTGCCCGGTGCAAAGACCTCCTCCTCCTCCTCCTCCTCCTCCTCATCATCATCATCATCATCATCAGCATCATCATCATCATCATCATCATCATCATCATCATCAGTATCATCATCATCATCATCATCATCATCTCATCATCATCATCATCATCATCATCATCATCATCATCATCATCATCATCATCAGCATCATCTTCTCACTCCTCTCTTTCCTTTTCCCCTCCCCCTCCCCTCCTGCCTCCTCCTCCTCCTCCTCCTATTCCTATCGTCCTCCTCCTCCCCCTCCTCCTCCTCCTCCTCCTCCTGCTCCTCCCCCTCCTCCTACTCTCCTTCTCCTCCTCCTCCTCCTCCTCCTCCCCTCCTCCTCTTCCTCCTCCTCCCGCACCTCCTCCTCCTCCTCCTCCTCCTCCTCCTCCTCCTCCTCCTCCTCCTATTCCTCCTCTTGTGTGTAGCGTCCCGTTCGTCACCCCAGGTGTTCTTTCGGGGCCCTGAGGGAGAGAGAAAAGGCAGTCGTAGGCCGTCCCAGCCTTCGCCACGGGGGAAGGGCCGCGTCTGGGGTCTCGGGGCTGTGCCCGCCTCGTCCTTGTGGCGGCAGCCCAGGGCCCCAGTGCGCGGCTTTTCCTTCCGTGTTCCGTGCCTGGGTTGTGGGTCTGCCACGTTTTGTTGCGACACCTCTGCGTGGCCCTCACAGTACTCCTCTGGGGCAAGGGTGGTGTCGCGGGTCCCCTATGCGGGGGGGGGGGCTCATCGGAGGTCCCCGTCCATTCTTCCTACGGTCACGGTCCCCCGCCGTGGCGTGCGCGGGGGCGGGCTGTCCCCGAGGGAGTGGTGCCCCTCGGGTGGCGGATCGGGGCGACACGCGCGGCGCGTCGTTATCTGAGGCCTCGGAATGTCAGAACGGGCGGTTTACCAGCTTAGCTGCTGCCTCCTGGCGCATTTGGCGCCCTTGGCGCGCGTGTCGGGTACGTCTGTCGCCTTTGTCGCGGCGCTGCTGCCTTCAGTGGCGCGCGTCGCCTTTTGTGCGTGGCCTCGGGGCGGGGCTGCCTCGCCACGGGCGAGCTGGGCGTGAGCCCCCGCCGCTGGCCTTTTGGGCAGAGGGTTGAACCCACCACGCCCCCCTGTCGGTGGGACCCTCGGCCCAGCGCCGCGCAGTTTGCGCGCCGCTTCGCCCGCAGCGATCGCCGGCGGCTGAAGGCGGCGGTCGCTCGTGCGCTCGTCCGCTTTTCGGTGTGCTCCACTCAACTCCTCCTCATCCTCCTCCTCCTCCTCCTCCTCCTCCTTCTGCTCCTCCTCCTCCCGCACCTTCTCCTTCTCCTCCTCCTCCTCCTCCTCCTCCTCCTCCTCCTCCTCCTCCTATTCGTCCTCCTCCTCCTCCTCCTCCTCCTCCTCCTCTCCTCCTCCTCCTCCTCCTCCTCCTCCCCCTCCTTCTCCTCCTCCTCCTCCTCCTCCTCCTCCTACCCGCCCTACTTCCTCCTCCCTCTTCCCCCCCCCCTCCTCCACCTTTTTTCTCTCTCCTCCCCCCCTCCCTCCTCCTCCTCCTCCTCCTCTCCTCCTCCTCCTCCTCCTCCTCCCTCCTCCTCCTCCTCCTCCTCCTCCTCCTCCTCCTCCTCCCCCTCCTCCTCCCCCTCTCTCATCCCCCCCTTCCTCTGGGGGGGGTCCAGCGCCGACCCAAGAATTCCGCCTAGGCCCCCCGAGAGCTAAAGCTTTCGCCTACCCTCCCCCCGTTCCCTCCAGTGCTAGCGCTTTGTCTTCCAGAGCCGTCGCAGCAAGGTCGCTTCCGAACCCTCTCCGGGTCGTGGCTCCTTGCTAAAAGGAAGCGCCGTCCGACGCCTCCGCCGCCAGCTCAAAGGGAGCACACCTACCTACCTACCTCCTCCTCCTCCTCCTCCTCCTCCTCCTCCTCTTCCTCCTCCTACTCCTCCTCTTCCTCCTCTTCCTCCTCCTCCT